CTCGTTTCAATGCTATTTTTCATCTTTAATGTTCCTTTACTTATTCCTTACTACAAGATGTAGTCCAAGAGTGATGTCATGGAAAACAGCTTCCCTGGCCTTTAGAGATTGGATCCAGTGAGAATTCTAGGAAAAGTCTCTGTTGGGAAATAAAATCCCAAATCTTCTAAGCTGCATTTTAACATGAAATCACAAATCATGTACTGTTAGCATTTTCATTCTCCGCCAAGAATTATATAACCAACACAAATCTTTTTGGAAGCTCCTGATGTTATAATACAGATTTCCTGTAAGTCCATGATGCAGTATTAACTAAATGTAAAGATATTATCAAGGACAAAAGATATCTTTTTCTATCTGTTCTTATTTGCTTCAATGATTCAGCTAGATTCCCCACCCCCCATACTTGCAGACAGAGCCCAAGGTTTCACACATGGGGTGTAAGTGCTCTATCCCTGAGATATACACTCCAGCCTGATGAGCTTTAAGGATATCAAGGAGAGAAAACTGAGCTTACTCAGTGGGTAAAGGTGGTTGCAGCCTAATGATCTGAGTACCATCTCAGGGACCCATATGCTAGTAGAGAACCTACTCTTACAAGTAGTTCTCTGACCTCCACATTCATGTTGTGTAGCCTGTGCACGTATGCACATACAGTAAATAAATAAGCAATTAAATAAATGTATTTTTTAACTATCCTATGGCCAGTGAGATGACTCAGTGAATAAAGGAGCCTGATGAGCTGAGCTTGATCCCTGGGCACACATGGAGGAAGGAGAGAACCAACTCCCACAAGTTGTATTCTGACCTTCACATTCTTGCCATGGCTCACATGCATGTGCATTCGAATACACAAAAGAGAAAAAATTTGAAGTGCTAGGGAAATAACTTAAAGGTAGAGTGTTTGCCTAGCACACACAAAACCCTACGTTCAACCTCTACCTCCAATTACTAAAAAGAAGAACAAAGTCTTAGAATATTTTTTACTTTTCATTATTCCAAAATTAAAAGTTCTGGGCTGAGCATGTCACTCAGTCACAGAGCACTTGCCTGGTACATGTGAGGCTCTGCAGAGTTCAATCCTCAGCTCCCTCTTCCAAAATACAGTTAGAATTTTAAATTCTGGGCTACTGAGATGGCTCAGCTGGTAAAGGCACTTGCCATCAAGACTGACAATCTAAATTCAATCCTTGGGAACTAAATGGTGGGAGATGAGAATCAACTCTTACAATTGTCCTCTGACCTCCATATGTACATTCCCACATGCATAAATTCAATCCTTGGGAACTAAATGGTGGGAGATGAGAATCAACTCTTAGAATTGTCCTCTGACCTCCATATGTACATTCCCACATGCATAAAGACACAGACAAAAAATAACTTTTAAAAATTAGACCTTGAAAGGGTATCTACTGCACATGTGGTGGTGCATACCTTTAATCCCAGTACTTGGCAAAGGCAAGCAGATCTCTGTGAGTTCGAGGCCAGCCTAGTCTACACAGTGAGTTCCAGGACAGCCAGGGCTATGTAGACAATCTGTCTCAAAAACACAAAGCAAAACAAAAATGAAAGGCCACCTACTTCTTTTTTTATTGGGGGGGTGTTATTTGGAGACAAGATTTTACTTTGTAGCCCTGGAGAGCTTTGAACTCAGAGATCCACGTGCCTTTGCCTCCCTCATTCCTGGCCCCTGGTAGTCTACATTTTAAACATCTTGTGGTATGGGTGCTTTGGCTGCATATATGTCTGTGTACCATGTGAGTGCCTAGTGGCCATGGAAGCCAGAAGAGCCTGAGGATCCTGTGGAACTGGAGTTACAGATGGTTGTGAGCTGCCATGTGTGTGCCGGGAATTGAACTCTGGTCCTCTGGAAGAGCAGCCAGTGCTCCTGAGCCATCTCTCCAGCCCCATGGTCACGTACTTTTGAGCCAGCACTAATACAAGGTATACCTAGGGCAGAAATGACCTATGGGAGTCTTTCCATTGGTTCCTAAAATGGCAATGATAAGCTCCTTCTACTCTTCCTTCTGTTGCTGCTGTTCCTAGAAAACCAGCCTCACCCCACTTGCTGTTCCTCTTTGCCTAGCATCACTCTATCCAGATATCTATGACTCCCTTTAGATCATTAGGCAAGAGTCAACTCAATGAGACCTTGTCCCAAACCCCTCTTAAAATAATACAGCCCAGTGGGCTTGGTGGCATATACCTTTAGTTCCAGCACTCAGGAGGCAGAGGCAGGTGGATTTCTGTGAGTTCAAGGCCAGCCTGGTTGACATAGTGAGTTTCAGGATAGCCAGGGCCACATACAGAGACCCTGTCCCAAAAAAGCAAACAAACAAACATAAATAAATAAAAATTACAAACCCCCTCTACTCTATCAACCAAAGAATCTCCATCTCTGCTTTATTTTTTCTAAGGTCTATTTAATGCTGAAGTAACTCTCTTTAGAGACGGTCTCATACTCCAGGCTGCCTCTTCTGAGGAAGATTCTCAACTGATCCTCTTACCTCCACCTCCTAGTACTGGAACTACAGAAATGGGCCACCATACTTTCATTTTTCATTTTCTGTTCAAAATTTTTTGTTTTGTGCCAGGTATAGTTAGTTACACATGCCTATAATCCCAGTACATAGGAGGCTGAGGCAGGAAGATGACCTTGACTTTAAAGCAAACCTGGACTACAGTAAAAAACTGTCTAGGGGGGATCCAAAACAAAACAATGTTAAAAGTATTAACACTTAACTTGAATCCCCAGCACCTAGAACAGTGTGTGGCACATAGTAAATGCTTAATAAATACTTGAGCTATGAAGAAATTTACTTCACAAGCCTCCATGTTCTATAGCCACTCTCAATTTAAAGATGAAAAAATCCAAACTATGAGGTCAAGTTACTGGCCTAAGGCTACGATACTATGGAGCTAGGGTCTTCCTGAGTTCTATACCTTCCTAATTAACTACCATTACTGCAAGTCCTCACCAATGGCCAGCTTTGCTTGTTCTTCAATTAAAAAAACAAACAAAACAAACACCAAAGGAGCTACAGCATTCTAGTTCTGAAAAAATGTCTGGTAATAAATTAATCTACACCACACCCCCAACACAGACCAAGATTCACTGTCCTCACTTAACATTCCATCATGAAACATTTACAATCTGAAAGCTCAAACCTGCGGGGAAAATTATTAAAGGTACTAAAATATAACACTTTTTCCTTTCTCCCATCTCTCTTGACTTGCCATGACGTGTTTTTATTTGTTGATATATGTTGTCCTAAGTAAAGAAAAATTAAGATTTGAAATTATTAGCACAAATTTTACTATTCATTTATATTGTACAATGCCAGTTCACAAATATTATTAAACCAAGTACGGGATCCCCGCTTCTGAATACCCATGAATTCAGTCAAGCCAGCCTTGGTTCCATGATTTCAGCCCCAAGTAACCCACAACAAGGCAGAGAGGTCAAACTCTGAAATTCTCAATAAAGCAGTAATCTGCCAAAATTATCTTCAGGACAAGGGATAAATCCAAAATATAAAAGCAGCCACTTTAAAGTTGGCTATTCCTTTTCCAAATTAATCCTGCCCATCTTGCATTATTCTGTCTTTTTACAAAACACACAAGCACGCTGTGAAAGACAACTGGTACTGGACTAGGGAATTAAAAATTTAACGTCTAACTAAGAAAAAATACATTTATTGCCAACTAAAAATAACATACTCCAAAATATCCTTTCATTTCTTATTGACTATTTTTAAGCCAAAACATCCCACAATTTTGAAATTCTAGCAAATTTTATTTTCAAACCACAAATAATACTATCTTATTTTTCTGCCAAATTAACCAGTAGTAAAGAGTGTTAATTAACATCCTTTACCACTGACAAACTGGGACTCAAAGCACCTACCGAGTGTTGCAATTGAAAATGAGAACTGAATTACACAAATATTACATTTAGTGCTAAAAAGTTGAAATTCCCTATATATTTCTAGATCTATTAAGCATTAAAGAAATATGAATGCATTTGTAAGCTCTTCAAAAACAATTTTCAAATGGGTAGAAGCATTCAGTCATCCTGTTCCCTAGATATGAAAAGCAAACATTGAAATTAGAGCATATACATCTAAAAACCACTTTTAAGATGACAACGGCAAACCAGATTAATGATTAAAAATATATAAAGACTAACAAATGTAAGGTGTTAAATATTCTGAGTAAGAAAAGGGCCTAAGAGGCCTAGAAAGATGAAAAGCCCTACAGTAACATTAAATCTGATTTGAAGAATACCGTTATTTTAAATAAGCAGTTAGCATTTTGTAGGAGGAAGGCCAACCAACGTGACTATTAACCAGCTATCGATTACTGCACTGTTTTGCTATTCTGTACTTATTTACTTAGAATATAGAAATTACGAGGCAGCAACAGTTAGCCACATTAAGCACTCTAGCAAAGGTTACTTAAAGAAATGACCTTATATTTTCTACGACACTTTACAGCTATAGATTATTTTCACATATATGACCTCATAGAGTCATCATTACCTTCTGATGTGGCTATTACTGACTAGATTTCATAGATAAGAAACTGAGGTTCCATACGAGATTTTCTCAGTCACCCAGTCGGACCCAGACGTTCTGATTTCACGCTTTATGCCTCACATTTCGCATAGCTCTATTTCAGGCACAAGTAGGATTTTTAAAGGGAAGGAACCGGTTGGGGGGAAATAATCATGGTACCTGCAGCTCTGTGCTGCAAAAAATGGCTGAATTATGCTTCTTCCTTTTTTTTTTTCTCTCCCCCCCTCTCTCTCCCCCCTCCTCCCTTTCTCCCCCTGGAAAAAAAATTTACATTTCAAACAATTTAAGTAAACTCAAAGACAAATTAGGTCCCAGCGTCTACCAAAGGTCTGAGTGCGGTGGGGACCACGGAACCCGTGCCTTCCTCGGGGCCGCGGGCAAAGCCTGGGCTCCGCAGGCCGGCGGCCAGGGGCGGCTACGCACCTCGGGGGTCCTGTCCAGCCTCTAGTGGACGGCACTCTGCATCAGGAAGAAGCGGGCCAGTGGGCCGAACGGTGGGAGGGTCGGGCGCCGGGACGGACCTCGGTAGGCTCCTTGGACCTCTACAAGGGGCCGCTCCCTGGCCGGGCCGGAGCGCTCCGGCGCGGGGCGAGCGTGAGAGCCTGAGGCCCCTTCAGAAGCAGTCCTGGGAAAGAAGACAGCGCTTGAGTAGCGAGTCCAGACAGTTGGGCTAGGCGGTAGGCGCGCGGCGTCGGGGCCGGGGCCCAGACTTGCCAATACCGGGGAGGGGAGGAGGAGCTCGCGACAGCCCACAGGGTACGGCGGGAGAACCGGCTTAGGGCCACGAACCGGGACAGAGCAGAGGGGGCCGAGGGCAACAGCACAAGCGCCAGCGGTAGCGACGTCGACAACGGCGGCGTCTCCGGGTTTCTGCCCCGAAGCGCGCGGAGCCTCAGGATCACCCACGCCGGGGGTGGAGGAAAGCGGGAAAGGGGCGGGAAAGGGGCGGGGCGTGCGGGGCCACGAGCCAGGGGCCGCTCCGGGCCTCGCGCCCCCTGCGGGCCGCGGGAGCCGCCCGGGGCCCGCCCAGGGAGGCGGGGCGCGCAGGCAGGGGGCCCGGGCTGCGGCGTCTAGGACGTGCGGAAGCCGGCCTCTTGGGGAGAGAGAGAGAGAGAGAGAGAGGGTGGGAACGGGAAGCCACGGGTTAGAGAGTAGGCCTGGGAGGCCCCCTCCACCCCGGAGGGTGCCCCGCAGGGGCCAGCGCGCCGCCTGGCGGGTGTTTACCTTCCCCCTGGTCTAATGCCAATGCCGCCATCTTTCAGCCCAATGCGCGTCACTTCCGGCGCCACGGAGCGGGAGCGGGTGTGGGAGCCCGGTGGAGGGAGGGTTGTCCCGCGCCCGCAGCCCGCCTTGTCCCTGAGGGCGAGCCTACCACAGTAGCAGCAGGCAGGGGGCACCGAGGAAAATAGGTAGCGGGGCGCTGCAGGCCGGAGCCGTTGAGGCTTCCCCTCCGAGCACCGCCGTCGGGGCTAGAGAGGATCGGCCGTGCACCTTCCCAGGCGGCCGTGTCACTCCGCCTGCCGAGGAGGTGGGCCCTGAGGCGCTGCGGCGAACGCGCGGTGCGCAAGTTGAGGGCTAGGACACCCGGAAAATTCCATTTTTTGCCCTCTTGCACACCATGGGATGAGGGGAGCTCTGCCAACAGTACCTGTTATAAAAGTGACTCGAGAACAGCGAATGACATCATTTTTGTAAGGCAGTTTGCAGTGGAACGTTGCGTCACAGTTGCACTTGGTTTATTGCGTAGCAATTACACGTTTCACATATAAATGTCTCAGAGACGGGAAAAGTCATAGAAAATGGCATGTTTTCACTACAGGGAGAAAAGTGCGATCTAAAACATCGCGTTTGTTTTGCGTCAAAATAGGCAAGAACGAACATTCAGAAGGCACCAATTTCTGTTGTTCGTTTGTGTGTGTGTGTTTACAAGTCTGCTATAGAATTTTAGATCATGGCCGTTAAATATCATTTTTTCTTGATTTAAGAATATGAAAGTACACCATACGACTGTTTTGTAAATTTATTATGCATCTCTGTGAGGAAGCCACTGGCCCTACAAACAGTTTAAAATTAAGGCACCCATTAACCATTTCTGATCTTAACGTTTTTGGTTTTTTTTTTCTTCTCCTACCTCTACCTCCACCTCTACCAGGAAAATAAATTTATTTTTTATCTTATCTAAATAAACTTATCTTATCTAAATAAACTTATCTAAATAAACTGACACCCGCAGCAGTAATTCCTGTTTTCAATTACAGCCAGGCATTGCTCAACAATAGTGATGAGTTCTGAGAAATCAATAGGCAGGCAGTTTCACTGTTAGACAAACCTAGGTGGGTGCCTAATGTGGTGGTGTGCACTTTTAATCCCAGCATTTGAGGGGCAGAGGCAAGAGATCATTCATTGTGAGTATGAGGCCAGCTTCGTCTACACAGAGAGTTCCAGGCCAGCCAGTGGTTGGTTACCTAGTGAAAATTTGCCTGGAAAAAAAAAAAAGCTGTATATATAGTTTTTCTCAGGGACTATGGTTTGGTATAACTGGCAGCAGATGGTTTATTTAAACCAGAATCAATCACAAAAGGAATAATGTGTTGTGCTATAGTGTTAGGATAGCTGTGACATCAGTAGGTAGTGGGGGGTTTTCAGCTCCATTATAATCTTTTGAGACCAGCACCATAAGTGCAGTATGTAATTGAAACTGCATTCTTTCTTTCTTTTTATTTATTTATTTGTTTGTTTGTTTATTTGCATTTATTTAGTAGAGGGGGGAGCCATGGAGATCAGACAACTTGGAAGAGGTGGTTGAGGCGGGTCCCTCTTTCCACCATGTGGCTGCAGGGGGTTGAATTTAGGTTGTCAAATTCAGGTTGCAGTACTTGGTAGCAAGTGCCTTTACCTGCTGAGACTTGTCACTGGCCCTAGCTTTGGCTTTTTTTCAATATCCTTTGACAACTCATAACTCCTTTTCTCCTCACGCTGGAAAGTAACTGGTGTTCCTTCCTTCTGGAAGGGCCCCCGAAAGGCAGCAATTCGAGGCTGTTTCTACCTCCCAAGTTTTAGGGTCACAGTGTGAGCACCCTGCCTGTGTTGTCTCTTCTTAGCTCTCTAGCCTAAGTGTTGAAGAATACAATACACAGTCCTCAGTCTGTTGCTGTCTGGCTCTCTGATAGTCCCGAGACATGCTAGAAACTCGGGCTGGAATTAGAAGGTGGCCGGCCTCTACCTGGGGATTGTGAGGGTTGGTGACAGTATATTCCCCTTCCCCCTTCCTTTATTTTATGTTTTAAGAAGTTGGAAGCCTGCAGCGGGAGTGTGTACTTGCAGCACCAGAACTAACAAGGTTAAGGAAAGAGGATGCAGAATTTAAGCCAGCTAGACCCTACCTCTGAAAAGAAGAGAATCCCTTGAGCTCTTATGATGCCTGACTCACGGGAAATTGGGAGACATATGAATAAAGGAGGATTCCTGGTTAGTGTTTAAGCAGCTTGGCTGTGACTGGTTACCTTTCGTTAGCACTGGCTCCTCTTTTTTATTTTCCCAGGCCTTCAGGTTGTCACACTTCTCCAAACTTTTCCAACTCTCTGCCCACCTCTTAATTCATGAACCTGACCCACTTTTCTAGAAGTAAAAACTGTAAGGGAATTGTATCAAAACTTCCATCTCTTTAAATAGGCCGAGGCTTCTGGAGATGTCTACAAAAGGATTTTCCTCACTTGTCGTCCCTTACGTCAGATCTCTAGTTATTTGGTAAGAATCTTTACATTGTTTCCTCTATATTCTCTCATATCATGAAGCCCAAATCCCTCCCCCAAGATCCAGATAGGGTAATGCCAAGTCCTTAAACACTTGAAAGGATCCTGAGTACAAGGACAAAAAAAAAAAATTCTGAAAGGTAGTACCTAGAGTCTGTCTGTACCTTGCTGTTTTTCAGGAACATAGGTTCTCCACCAGCAAAACAGCTCATACTTGCCAAGCCGTAATGACACATCATGAGCTAAGAAACCCACTCCCCAGAGAGGCATCTGAAATGTGTACATTCCATTAGTTCAGAAACACTGGGAGCTACTCAAGGAAAATAAATCAGTAACTCAAGTCTACATGACCAGAATGACTCAGCAGGACCTGTGTAGCCCCAAGAGACTGGGTGCCTAAACTATGTATATTGCATTATTTCAGAATATATAGGGAACTATCTAAGAAAATTAACAACTTAAATGTGCGTGACAAAAAAAAAAAAAAGAGAATTCAGTGTGCCCTATCCTGAAATGAAGCAAATGCTCAACTTTTTAAACTTCTACCCTTGAGGTCTCACCTAGCCCTTTTTTTGGGGGGGGGGGAGTGGGCATGGGAAAGAGGCTGGAGATAGAACCCAGGGCCTTGCTTGGTAACGACTCTACCACTGAGTCACGTAACCCCCCAGGCTCATTTCAACCCTTTAACCTCGAGGAAGCAAATGATCTCCTAGCAGTTTTTAGAGTAACAACAGCACAACCCCTATAGATAGCCATCAGGGTTCAAAACATTCGAAGCTGGCCTCAGAGCAGTAGTTTGAGGTGACATGGGGTATTCCGGTAGAAGCCAGGCTTTGAAGGATTGAGCAAGGCTTCTCAAAGGGTGTGATCTCTAAATCCAGTCCAGAAGGAAAGAGAGAGAGTAAATAAGGCGCCCACAGGCTGTGTCTAGACCTAGGAGAAGCGGAAACTCTTCAATAAGTGCTAATGTCTGAGTAGGGTGAAAATGGAGGCCAAAAGAAGGCGAGACAAGACGAGAAAGGAGCAAAAGACCGCACACGGCAACCTCTGCTGTCTCCTTTGGTTTGTTTGTAACATTTCTTGAGTTCATTCCTTGACAATCTCATATAACAGACATCCTGAGTGGTCTAATGCCCTCTTTAATCTACCCCTATAAATGGTACAGCTCGGAAGGGAAAGGTATTCTGGTTGTCAGGAGTCAAGGAATACCACAAAGTCACACCACACAACAAACCTCACACAAAGATGTGTTGGGAAAGAAATGGGAAGGAACTGTCTAGCTAGGAGGGTCTAGAGGAGTTGTGGGATTATGATGTGCAGCTCTGAAGGGAAGGCAGGGGAAGGGGCAGGAAGGGACACAATAGCCTGGTTGGGACTAAGGAAGCTGCAGCATTACTGCTCCAAGGGTAGAGGGTCAAGGCCAGGTGAAGAAGACCAGCCATAGCCTTAAAGACCATGGCTGTGGGGTACCTCCACCTCCAAGAGTACCAGAGGGGTGCCAGATACTCAATGGTCACATCCTCAGACTCAGGGGAGCAGTTACACCTACAAAAGGGGAAATTTACCGAATGCTACCGGTGGATGGGGTACCAAGCAGTTGGTGAGCTGGAAGGTGAGTCTGTTTGGGTGGACCAGAAATGAGAGACAGGGTCCCAGTGGGGCTCAGACCCTGAGGGGGGAGCACAGGCACCAGGGGAGCGTGAGTCACACCTCCAATGTAAGTGTTATGGCTCTGAGGCAAAACCTGATAGTCGGGAGCCAAGGATTACCACAAAGTCACAAACTTCACACAAAAGATTTACTGGGAGAGAAAACTCAGAAGTGACTGCCTCGACTCGAGTGAGAGGCCAGAGAGAACTGACCAGAAGGCAGGCCTTATATAGGGTTTCTTGTGGGTGGAGATTTCCAGGGTGGCATGGGATTGTTGGGATTATTGTGGCCTGGTCTTGACGCAAACTCAGGGATTGATGGGAATTTTTCCCGTAGGGTGAAGCCTAACCACTCTAGTACCTTGAGAGGCTGAGAATCACTGTTACAACCCTTAGTGACTAACTGTTGGGGCTGTTAGAGAAGTCTGCGGGGTGGGGCCTAGCTGTTGGCGCTCCTCAGGGATGGCTCCTGGTCACTGGAGCTCCTCAGGGGTGGGTCCTGGTCACTGGAGCTCCTCAGGGGTGCGTCGTGGCCACTGGAGCTCCTCAGG